TCTCCATATTTAGGTCGAAGAACCTACTACTTGCACGCCTTCCCCTTGAACTGGAAGGCATATCGACATTCAGATCGAAAAAGCTCGCAATCGAATGCCTCCCCCTGGAGCTTGAAGCCATCGTGTCAAATGGAAACTACACAGATTGTTGCGTCGATGGCATCTCCATATTATGGTCAAAGGGATTTGCAGATGAATGCCTTCCCCTTGAACTAGACGCGATGTTACCATACGGATTGTTCGTCGACCCATCTCGGTACATATCGTAAGGAGTTGCGGATGAATGTCTCCCCATTATGGCATTAAAATCATTACACATTACTGTCGTCAGCCAACCCATAGTGGGAGCTTAATGATTGACCCCGAATAGCACGCACTTGAATAAAATTTGCATACATCTCAATATCGGCGTCTGAATAATTACTTTGAGCTTCAACCATCATTTCAACATCATCATTGTTCAAAAGTTCGAACACTGTATAAGTTAATACAACAATGATGTTGGAAATCTGTACTGCAACGACGATATTCTTCTACTACTTCCAATATGAATCTTCCTTGAAATCTTCGTTATCAGCTCCTCAAGAGTTATGTTTCTCTTCAATGATATTTTAACACACTCATTTGATACGAAAACAACGTCGGTTTCATCTTCTCGAATTTCACCATCATAATAAACAATAGCTGAAAGTCGAGTCATTCTTTGAGTTTAAAAGTGCAGCAATTTTATATATGAAAAAAAACAACTGAAACAATGTTGATTAAATAAATAATATATGAACGAAAATATAACAAAATAAATTTTTTACACATAAACGTAAATAATTTAAATAATATAATTTTATATTATTACTTGTACCACAAAACTATTTCGACGTATATTCCCGCTTTCTAATTTTACAAACACAGACATTAATTAACAACAATTAGTATAATATTTTTTCAAATAATCATAATAAACAATAAGTATAATAAAAAAATTATCACAAAATTACCTTATAACGAAAAATCGTATGAACTTCTGAATCAAATATGAGAAGATTGTCGAATTGTTGTATTAATTTTTTTCTAATCGAGAGGAGTTACCCCGGGGGAAGGGTATTTATAGCCGGGAAAAGCTACAAGATGTGGTACCTGCACCGCGCCTTACATAATTATATAGATAAAGCTAAGGCGCGGCCCCTGTTTCGCGCCTAATATAATTGTGTTAAAGGTAAGGCGCGGCCCCTGCCCTGCGCTATACTCTTAGTTGGCCTAAGGCGCGTCCCCGGGACCGCGCTTTACATACGTGTATACCATGTCAGAATAAGGCGCGCTTCAAAGATCGTAATTCGGAAATTGATTTGAAAATTCCATTAACAAAAATAAGAGTTAGTTACGGGATTGAGTCTTATAGATTTGTAACAAACGTACTATCAAGGAAGAAAATTAATTTCAATGATCAATCAAATTTGAAGATAGCAAGACTTTGGGCTAAAACCGCAATTGAATTTTTTATTATTTACCATTATCACATTTTTTGTATTCTTCCTCATTACTTTAATATTTATTCTAAATCCTCACTTGTAAATCTAAACCAAAGATTGAAACGAGGAAACGATATTGAAATTCCTTTAGTCCGGATAGATCAACTTTACTTCTCTATGCTATATTCCATTATTTATTAGAGATTATAATTATTTTATTTGACAAAATCGACACTTGTAAATGAACTCTTTGGAAGCTCCAGAGGGATTTGTCCAAATTTTTCCTTCGCGAAAAATTAATAGTTTTCGGAGATCATCTACCGAGATATAACAAACTTAATAAAATGTAGTCTAGCCTACACAAATTTGGTAATTTAAAGAACAAATTTAAAGTTAAGATATAATACCAAAATATAAGATTTTGTTTCATAAAAAATACCAGAATCCTAATATTAGGGGCTCTAAACTTTAAATATTGTCACATTTTGCCCATAATTCATGAGTTTCTTGAGTTTTTCTAGTTTTCGAAAGTATGATTAAATTGAGATAATATACAAATAACAGAGACAAAATGTGTGATTATACTAAAATACCAAGTCACCTAATCTGTTAATTGTTAACGGTAGTTAACTCATGATGATTACATCTTAATTAAATAAAAATAAAAGTGAATATATTATGCTATTTGAAATCAGTGAGGAAAAGTAAACAAAACACAAATATAAGGGGTAGTTTGGTTCTAAAACATATTTTCTATTTTTTGTTTTTATTTTTAGAAAACAGTTTTTATTTTCAGTTTTCCAAAAAGTAGAAAACATATTTGGTTAATAAAAAAAATGTGTCTGGTACCCAAATAATTATTAACTAATTAAAGTAAAATATGAATATTAGAAATATATAATAATAATAATAATAATATACGATTAAATAAATGACAGTTTTGAAATCAATAAAAAATATTACAATAATTAAATGGGTGAATTAAGGACTAACATAGAGTTTAAAGATAGTTTTCAACCGGTAATAGACGCACCTTAATTAGAATCTCACTATCTGTGTCAGTGCCCCAAGCACAAAGATATATTAATAGATATTCAAATACAAATCAATATATAACTGAATATAGCTAAATTTAAAAACCAAGGACGAACAGAAGATACAAGTTACAAGCATTTCAAAATATAAGATTATCGCTGAACATTAAACAAAAAAACTACATAAAAATAATAATAAATTTCATATGAAGTTAGTTATTTACCTGACAAATATAAAGCCATCGTACCAGCAGCTAACTTGTAATTTATGAGCTTTAAGATAATTGATATTTAAATACTAAAAGAAAAGGTTAAAAAGTAATTAAAGAAATATACTTTTATTAGGATTTGAAATTGCACTAAAATAAAATAATTAAATGTGAATTAAATCAAAAGATATTATTAGAACTTTAACTCGTATAATTAAATTAACTTAAAAAGTAGTTATACAAATATTTTAATTCAATTTGATGCAAAGAACAATTAATAGGCATAAAATCTTTCGATTTTTTTAAGATCAAGTGTTAGTGACCCTGAAAGACAGTAGTTACTTCCGATGCAAAGAACAATTTTACATAAATTTGATCATTGTTTAAATATAGTATGACTATACGCTTGAAAAATATAATTTTTTTAGAAGAGCATTTACTCAAAGTAAGAATTGTAGAAAGGTTCTCCAATTATATCATAAATTTTAGCAAAACATATATAAATATTAGTGTCATAGAAAAATCCTCAAAATACGAGTTATGAGTGATGACTGACGAGAAGAAGACAAGTTTTGAAGGTTTCAGAGTCAATTCTGCCATTAAAGCTTAAATTTTGTAAAGTATTGACGGTCTTTTCGTTAATTGCAAATATAAACATGGATGATTTTTTTTGCTCTGTAAGTTAAAATGTGTAACCTGTAATTTTTTATCTTTTAAATTTTGAAAACAATTTTCTAAGAGAGCACTAAACACACCATTTATATGTTTCATATTTTCACTCATTTTTTTTTATTTTATAGAAATCATTTTATAATTTTACCACCAAATACGTTTTCTTCAACGTTTTATTTTTTTAAAAAGTAAAAAAATGAAAATAGTCTATTTTCCTAAAACCAAATAGACCCTAAATTGACAATCACATATATAACCTTAAACTTAAATAAAAAAATCTTAACACTAATAATATATTTTTATAAATTTAAATTTACATATTTACACTCGATTTAAGCTTTAAATTTGTGTTATTTGGATGTTGACTTTGAAAAATAATGAACAATAAAAAATCACAAAATCAAACCGAATAGAAAGCCATAGTTTTTATGTCATTCGATTATGGTTTAGATTTCAATTTTTAAAAAACCTGCAAAGTGTGATTCAATTCATATTTTATTGAAAAATCAAATCGAATCGAACTGAATACATTCCAAATGTTAGAGGTGAGCAAAACTTGACTCGACTCGAATTGATTTCAAATTGTAATGAATGGATTGATTTTTAAGTTTGAGTCGAGCCCCTCGACTCTGTATAATATATGAATATCACATATGAAAAAAATATAAAAAAATATACATGTATTGTATATGGTTATAAAAAGTTATTTAAATTTGAATCAAATAATATCATAATATTATAAATATTTATAATCAAATTTAAACATAAACTCAAAAATTCAATTCGACTCAACTCAAGAAAATTTTAAGTTAACTTCGAGTTATAAAACATGATTCATCAACTAGAATAACTTAAAATTTTTTTATTTGATTCTATCGAATGCTGACCCCAACCTAATGCTATATTGTATTTTAATAAAAAAAATATACTGAACTGGTTAGGAGCAAAGGATTACAAGTAAAGATTGAACATTGAAACTGCAGTTTCACAGCGAGCCCTGGCTTAGCTAAGATTGGTGTGACGTTGTGAGTAGCTTTTTTCATCCACACTAGTCGAGAATAGGTCAATTACCAAATCCAACGTGGCTCCTCTTTGTACTGAATCTGATCCCACGCCTTCGATTTATATGGACATTTCTACACGGAGACTGATCTTTGCTTTTCCATGTATTTTCTTTAACCTAAATAGCAATATCAGAGGATAAAAGATAAAGCTGGATAAAAGAGAGATACTCCTAGAAAAGCAACTGAAAATACTGTGGCGAATCCATAAATCCATCAGTTTCTCATGTGACCTGAAACTAACTCCCCGCCGTCTTTGCAGGGCGGGAAAAGTTCATCACTTTCTTAAATGTATGTCTTTGATGTGTATAAATACACTGGTTGATGTATAATGTGTGTATACTAACTATGTATGGGTCGTAGCTTACAGAAATAAAGTTAAAATTTCTGGTAATATAAATCCAAGAATCTCAAACAACTTCTTTTGGGTCCCCCAGTTAGTGTCTTTTATCTAACCTTTTTGTCCTTGTTCTTTTGTTTTGCTCATTTCTTCTTCTCCTTTATAGCTTTCATCACCATTTAATGATGTCTTCTCCTTCTCCTTCTTCTTCTTCTTCATCATCATCACCATCACCATCATCAACGTCTTCGTCTTCTTCTGATGATGGCAATGGCAATGGTACAGGACATGGTGGGCATGGTTTCGAAGGTCCTTCTTTGACTCGTAGACGTGGCAATAACGAAATCTGGCCCGGTCCTTTTATCGAAGATCTTGCTGTAAGAGTTGCCATTGATGCTTGTCGATACATTGGCCGCCTTGCTGCTGCTGCTGCACTTGCCACTTTGTTTCGGGTATGTTCTTCAGTCATTTATTTTCCCCTTAGAGAAATCATGAATGGATTTTTGACTTTTACCAATCTATGTAACACTATGATGGCACTGCAAAATCACTGCTTTAACAAGATATTAAGTTGTGAGAAAGGACAAAATCATAGACAGGTCAAAAATATCGCTTTGAACCCTGAAAATGTACAGCAATTCTACAGATTCTGTTACCCAGATTTTGATTTTTATTCTTTTATTCTTTGATGAACTCTAGCCAATGAATGTAGAGCCGAGTAAATGCTTATATATAGTGTCTCCAAGCCTTTGGATGGGTCCATTTCTTTCAAATTTATGTCCCGTTCGGGTGCTGTAGTTTCATCTTAGGCAAAGGGTTGCTAGTTTATTTCCTTTTTAGCTCTTTCCAAAAGTCTATTTTTGGATGTTCTTTTCATATATTTAGAGCTAGGGCTCATTTTTTGAATTTCCCTTTCTTGGCAACACCCTTTTCTTCTATAGGTCAACAAATCCCTTCCATTTGTTTCTCTGATAAATCCATGGATTATCTTTCCTAATGCAAACATGTAGGAAGAGAGAAACCTATTATATATTATAAATGCAGTATAGTTTAGAACTTTAGTGCCTAAGATACTCTTCTCTATCACCCCAGTAGGAGGAAGTTGGATAAATATCGGTAGCATTAACTAGCATGAAAGAGACTTCAAATTACTTCATTATAATCATGTTATCCAATCTATGTACAATGTATAGTGAAAGGCGATCGGATCTGACGTTCGAGAATACACCATTCTTTATCACATCACATTGAAGCTTTTTTTGGGTTTTTTAAAGATGAATATCAGTCAAAAGGCTTGCATGTGGCAATGTGCAATGAAAAAAAGCACATGGAACCCATTCTTTTTGATTAAATATAAAAGAAGTGACGTCTCCTTGTCATATCAGAGACAAGGGTCTTCTCATATATTTTGCTTAAAGCCCAGAGGCTGAGTTGGGATGACTTCTTTTTTGTTCTTTTCTGTTGTGTTCATATACATTGGTTAGAATATGATTCTAGAGTCTCAGACCCTTTTGTTTTCTCGGTTACTGTTGTATTTATCATGTGTCAGTCACCAACAACCTAAAATGAAAATTGATTCACAGATTAGCTGAACAAGTTTTTGGATTCTCTTTCTTTTGTTTCTGGTTCAGTGTTTCAAACATTTAATAGAATAAAATAATAGGAGAAATGGAGCAGCAGGTATGTGGGAAGAAGTGGAAGTATGGGGTGACAGTCCAAGAGAAAAGGTAAGCTGGGGAAGGCTATTATATTCTCTACACTAGCTTTTGCCCAATCCTTTCTAGGAAATGAAAGACTTCAATTATATATATATATATGGACCACAGCTAAGCTAATACTTGGTATTCTTCTCCTTGCTGCTTTTTCATTAACATGGAAAAAAACTTGGATTCTTTGTCATTTTCTTGTTGCAGAAGGTGATTTTGTAGCCATTTGTAAGGCAGATAAAAATGAATTAATTAAAAGGTGTCAGTCTGTTTGTGTATTAGGTCTTTTTGTACTTGTTTTAAGCTCCAAAGACAAGTCAATTCAAACAATTGCTCTGCAAAAACCAAAGGAAAAACTGTCATCTTTTTTGTTTAAGATGTCTGCAATTTTCTGACATCTGAACCCTAAAGCAGCTGCCTGCTCAAGCTTCAACTCTCTTGTCATTAAAATTCTATGACGCGCATGCCACTGCTTTACGCCACTGTCCCTTTACTAATTTCCACTAATATTCATCTTTCCAATCCGATATTCTACTTGTTTTTTCTCTGTTCGTTGTGATAAATTTTGGATAAATTATTTGATAATGATGTGATATTATCTTATAATATATTATTATCACTGTTAGTTTTTGAGTGTGAGTGTTCAAAATAAAATCATAACATTATATATAATTTTAAAAGATAAAAATCATTTGATGACTAAAATGAAACTAAAGTAATAACTGAGATATTAAATACGTAATTTATCCTGAAATCTTAACTATTGCCTTATGTTTCTTACGTGAAATCTGTTTTCATGCAGGTTTGTTCCACGTGGCAAGCAGTATCGCGGTCTGATCCACTGTGGCAGCGTCTTACTAGCTCCATATGGGGTCGCACCCACCGCATGCACGCCACGTGGCATGAGGAATACGTATACTGTCATCAAACGTCTCAGAATTTTCGTCTTGGGAGATCGGTTCACGAGACTCTCCATTTCGATCCGACAGGCGTCGATATCTCCGATGGGTTGATTTGCCGTTGTCTTACCCTCTCCGACACGCACCTCGCTTGCGGTTTCGCCGATGGTACCATACGCCTCTTCGAACTCGCCACCCGCCTCCACGTTGGCACCTTCCTCCCCCAACACGGAGACCATTTCGGCCGCTTCTCACGCGCCGTATCCGGCATAATCATCTCGGACCCCAGGGTGATATTCGCCACGTTGGACGGAGACATCCACGTGGCCATCATAGACGGGCAGCAACAGGCGCGCAGGGCTCACGTAGGAAACATCGTCGACGACGGTTCGTTGGTGGATTTCACCGGGTGTGGGCGTTGGTGGGTAGGGCTTTACGCCGGTGTACCTGGCCGTGCTATCCACATTTGGGATGGAAACACCGAAGATCTCGTCTACATGAACACAACCTTAACCGACCGAGAATCATTGAGGGGTTGGCACATGTTGACGGGGCTAACCGAAACTGTCGGTCGAGTCAGGGTAACTCATCGGGAAACGGCGGTTGCTTGTACGAGTAATAGGTTCATGGTGTTAGACTTGAGAAACCCAGAGTTTTCATTGCATGACCGTGAGAGTAGGATAGGGCTGATGGTGAATTCGTTGGATTCCAACAACGAGGCGTTCATCACTGTGGACAACCGTGGCAGGGCAACGGTGCGGCGGGCGGAGACATTAGATGAGGTATGTAGATTCAACACACGGTTAGGGAACATAATGAGTTGCATGAACTTGGGGTACGCGGTGATGTGCGCAGGTGGTGTAATAAGGGTATGGGAAATAGAGCATGGGCAATACTTGTATAGCTTCGGCGAGAACGTAGGGGCCGTGAATGCGATGGTGGCAGATGACCGGCACGTTGCGGTGGCCGGTGGTGACACGACGATCCACCTTTGGGATTTTGGTGCTCAGTAAGGGAAGGGATGCCATGGTGGAAGGGAAGTCTGAATTAATTGGCTTTTTATTTTCCAATTAAAATTAACCAAGGAAAAGACACAAAAGTTCACAATCCTTTAATTCGCTTTTCTTCTTTACTTGTACTTCTAATTTAACCCAAATGCTATGATTTCATTTTAGGATTTATAGTATTATTTTAAATATTAGGTAAATTACGGTGGGGTTCTTATCTATTTTATTTTGATCAACGATTTTAAAAAAGTATTATAATTTGATTATTTTTGTTTTTTATCTGTTTTATTTTGATAAATGTACCCTTAGTTCATATTAATTTAGTCAGACGGATTTAAACGATTAATTTGAAAACCGATTGAATTAAATTAATAAAACTTGAATTATTTTATTTTTCTTAAAATGTTAATTATTATATATTTTTTTAATTAGATTAATTTAAGTTTAATAGATTTTTTTTGTTACGGCTAAAATTTGATTGAGTTTTTAAAGTTAACGAGACTAGTACGGTTGGACAATAGTTTAGCCTTATTTTTTAAAATGTTTGAGCTCAATATATATAAATAAATATTAAATTAGAGGTGAGTGATTCTAGACTCAAAAACTTAGATTTTTTATTCGATGATTAAAAATTTGATTAGATTTGAGTCAAATTGTAATATCAAAAATTTGACTCATCTCATTTTTTTTAAATTTGAGTCTACTTATAAAATAGAACTAGAATGTTTTAGTGATTAGTGGATTGATTTTCAAATTCAATATTGTTATAGAAAACTGTTTAAATTATAATTAAGTAGTATAAGAACATTTTAAGTATTTATAATTCAATTTAAACAAAAACTCGACTTGAATTTCATAAAATCGATTCGAAAAAATTTCAAATAAAATTTAGTTATAAAATAAGATTCGTCAACTTGACGAAGTAGAAATTTTTTTATTCGACTCTATTAAATACTCACCTCTATATTAAATATTTTAGGTTAATTCAAGTAATTAACCGATTACTAACCAAGTTAATCGATATCTGAACTTTTGTCGACACCGTTTTTTGCCCGGGCGGGGTGAGACCAGTACCGACTTGGAGTTTTTCTTTGAAAATAATTTTGAAATGTGAGGAGTCTACACCAATCATTTAAGGTGCGATTGAGACACCATAAAAATTGGGTGATTTTAATAAAATATTTTATTTTTATCAAAATACCAAGTTTTAAGGTCTGCCAAAATCTATAAATCAGGGTCAACAGTCGGTTACGCGTGGGGAAGGATTAGCACCCCCACAAGCGCCCAAAAATTGGTACTTAGTTGATTACCCTATATTTAAAATCATAAATTTTGAGTTCGAACTTTATTTAATTTAAAAATCATTACGGATGCAAAGTTAAAAAGATTATTCGTTTATTAAGACCGATAGCATACGCCCCCTAACATGAATGCTGGAGATCAACTATTATGCCTAATAACCAAATATTGCCTCGATATTTTAGAAATCATGATGCGGTTTTGAAAAGAATGCCGACCTATTTCGGGAATCACCAGTAGTCTCCTCTTGAGCATACTTGCGGGAGATATACTATTAATTTCCTAATAAATGAACATTAACTTAGATTTAAAAATAAAATGCAATCAAACAAATTTTTATTCATCTTAATTCAGCTAAGGGTAAATTAAGGTTTTTTCTAGCTTGAAGCGTCGAATTATGCAAATTAAAGAACCTAAAGGCGCAAACCTAGAAGTGTAGGTTCTAATATTAATCCTATTTGATTTTTTAAACCAATTATTGAATCTAATAGCCGAGATGGTCCCTTGAGCATTTATGGGAGGGCTGACTCGAATTATTCCCTAAATTAAGAGGACTATATTGAAATCTAACTAAAACTGGAGGCTATATTTAACCTATTTGATTATGTCAATCTTAAAGGCCTAATTGACGTTCGGGGGATTAAAAGGTCAAAGATCTAAAATATCGAGTTCCAAGAGACTAGAAGTGTAGGGACCTAAATCAATAATTTATAAAGTTTGCAAACTAATTAATAAACCAAAATCCTAAGTATTATCTAATTTAACCTATTAAAAGGAATTAAGCCTAAAGTGTTTTTTAGAAAATATTGATGATTAATAAATTTTAAAAAAAAGTCGAGCAATCGATTCTAGTAATCGGACATCTTATGCGAAAACTCAACTCGAATTGCTCCCTAATTAATAACTAGGGTGTCGTCCTAATTTTTAAGTCCGATTTGAGTGTTAACCTAATTTAAGAGCGAAATCTAAAGCTGAAAACTAAGAAGTATTAAAAAGTTTAATAAACCTAATTAAAATAAATAATAAGAAACATAAAACACAACATAAAAAATAAAAATAAAATAAGCATAAATACAAGGACCAAATTGCATGAATATCAAATTACTAAGCTAAAAAGAATAAATTAGACATATAATATGGATTAAATTAAAACAAATTGAAATTAAATGGCTAAATCTAAATAAAATAAAAAATAGTTTAGGGACTAAAATGCAAAAACACACGGAAACTAGAAGGACCTAAAGATAATTATCCATTTTATTAAAGCCTAAAATACCTGTTAAACCTAAAAGGGAAAATACAAAATCAGCCTACACGAATTAAAATAAAATTCAAAATGTCACTACACATGACTAAAGTGTAAAAACACACCTAACTTATAGGGACCAAAGAGAGAATAACCCAAAAAAATAAAAAAATGCAATAAAAGGTAAAATTACAATATTAAACCCTACACATGTCCAGAATGCAAAAACATGCTAAAGTTACATTGACTAAAACACTAATAACCCAAAAAATAAAATACATGCAAGAAAAAAAGAAAATGATAGTTTTGGTCCCTACATGTGACCAAACTGCAAAAACACGCTAAACCTAAGGGAATCTAAGCGTGATTATACCCTAAATTAGTTATATATATATATATACATCAACATTTATTTTTTTATTTCATTTCAAACCAAAACTGAAAGGAAAAAAAGGAGAAAAAATAAAACTCTTTCCCATTTCCTTTGATCGGCCTATCTTAGGGCTTAAAACCACCTAAAACATCCCTAAACTACCCAAAATCGACCTAAATCCGTCGGCCTCCCTGGTCTCCGGCAACACCTCTTTGACTAAGGTAAGCCTAGATCTATCACTCTTTTAATTTTTAGCCTCTTTTTTATTATGGACATGCATTAGTTTGTTGTTATTCGACTAAAAATACTATTTTTAATTCAAAATTTGTGGGTTTCGCCCACAATATTACTGTGTTATTTCTTTAAAAAAACGAAACTAAAAAACATTGTTATTCGAAAACTTAAAAACCCTTTTTTGCTCAGATCTATAATTAAGAGCAGTAAAAAAAAAGAAAAAAAAGAAAGCCATTAAAAAATAAGAAAAACAGAAAAGAAGATAACCTTAAAAGCTTGTTGTTATTGTTTCGAAAAAAAGAGTTACATAGTTCCTGAGATTTTTTCTGTCTTTAATGCATGGGTTTTTATACCCATTTACACTGAAAATATAATGATAGTTATTTTGTTTCTTCCTTGTTGTTTCTGATGCAGGGTTGCGTAGTGTGTTGGGGTTGTTGGCGTGCATGGGTGAATTTGCTGGTATTGGGGTAGAGGAAGGTGTCTGCTAGTTGGGGGAATTGGGTGGCTGCCCTAGGGCTAGGGTTAAACCCGGGTCGAGTTTGGTATTTAGGCATTTGGGTCGGGTTTTGGGTTCTAGTTGGATTTTGGGTCTGGGGCTTGAGGCTTGGTTATATTTTGTAAAGGGTTTGGGTTTTATTTTTGGGGTTTGGTTTGGTTTGGGCTTGAGGCCCAGTTGTAAAATAAAAAACAAAACAATAAAAAAATGGCGATTACATCTGCCCCTCTTTGCTCATTGTTGTGAAACAAGAATGAAGGAAAGATAATAAAGTACCATTTTTGCTCAATCTCTGCTTTTCAAGATACGAGTTCTCAACATGAACTTCTAGGCGTTGCTGATTCGAAATATTGTGAATCGAGCAATAGGTCGAACAAGTTCTTCTCATTATGAACTTCTTCTCCCTCTATCGGATTAGTTCTTCTCATTATGACTCTCCATTGGAAATGTTAATCCCTCAAGAAAGGTGTTTCTGATTCGAAATGTCGTGAATCGAGCAATAGGTCGAACAAGTTCTTCTCATTATTAACTCTCTATTGGAAATATTGATTGGTTTACCTTCTCTTTGAAGAGTTTTAAACGTGCATAAAATTATCATATATCAGTGATTTGTATTTAAAGTATCCGAAGGTAATGACCCTATGATCCTCAATTTTATGAGATCCATTTCTTTCAATGATGAAAAATATGGGTTGATTTTTTGCTGAAATCATTTTCTTCTTCATGCATTTGTGAAATGAAATCGTCATTAACTTTTTTGAATTCCTGTCAAATATTCAACATTTGTGAGGAAAATAAATGAATGAAAAGAAATTTGTTTGAAGAGGAACTATCTCAGGTGAGATAAAATTTGTTTCGAGGGAAAATTGTCTCAAGTGGGACGTAGTTTGTTTTAAGAATAACAATCTCAAGTGAGATAAACTTCTTGTTTCAAGTGAAACAATTTCAATATTTATATTTCAAGGGAAACTTTCTCAAGCGAGATGAAATTTGTTTTAAGAAAAACAATCTCGAGTGAAATAAAATTTATTATTTCGAGTAAAAACTGTCTCAAGCGAGACAAAGTTTGTTTTAAGAAAAACAATCTCAAGTGAGATAAAATTTCCGTTTTGAGTGAAAACTGTCTCAAGCGAAACGAAGTTTGTTTTAAGAAAAACAATATCAAGTGAGATAAAATTTCTGTTTCGAGTGAAAACTGTCTCAAGCGAGACGAAGTTTGTTTTAAGAAAAACAATCTCAAGTGAGATAAAATTTATGTTTCAAGTAAAAACGTCTCAAGCGAGACGAAGTTTGTTTTAAGAAAAACAATCTCAAGTGAGATAAAATTTCTGTTTCCAGTAAAACCTATCTCAAGC